TTCGATTGGGAATAAAGGAGGAACTCTGCATCGCAGCCTTTTCGGACCAAAACCAGTCGACTGAGCGTCCAAAAGACTACAACATATGGGCCAATCGCGGTCATCCGTGCTTTTATAAGAGCGAAATGGCGCTTTTAGTGACATTTTGCATACAAATCCCCATCTAGTAGGGCGCAGTCACCCACTTTCGGTGGAAGTGCGCGAGTTCGATTGGGATTCAAGTAGGAAGGGAGCGTCTCAGCTTTCTCGGACCAAGACCATTCGACTCAGCACCCCGAAGACTACAACTGGTGAAATTTTAATTTTTGCCTTAACTTCCCCTCTTAATAATAATAAGTATCTAATATTGACTGAGTACGAGGTCAATATAGGAAACGAGAGAGCTTGGAAGCTCAGGGCCCTACGCTATGCTTTTTTGCCTTGATGACCTAGACAAAAAAAGCATAGGGATGTTTTCTTTAAAAAAAATCATTTTTTTTAAACCTGGGATTCGAACCCGCACTATCGCGCGCCCTGCATGCAGCCCCCGATACACTTCGCATACATACTAATTCTTCCAAGTTGTTTCACATTGTGATCTTGCATTTGAAAGCCCTATTTGAATATGCATTGTGGCCAGCCATCTTTGATGGCACGGTACGGTAGGGAATAGGTACGGGACAGGTACGATCGAGGGTAATACGACACCGTCTAGCTGCCCGCAATATTCAAATAGGGCTTTCAAACGCAAGATAATAACGTGAAGCAACTTGGAAGAATGGGTATGAATGCGAAGTGTATGGGGGAATGCATGTAGGGCGATAGTGCGGGTTCGAATCCCAGGATATGCCTGAAAAAAAAGGAGAATTGAAAAATTTATAACATCCTATGCTTTTTTGCCGTCAGATACGGATAGCGCCAGGCGTGACACAAACAAACAAACAAACAAACACACAAACAAACAAATACCAAACGAGAGAGCTTGGAAGCTCAGGGCCCTGCGCTATGCTTTGTTGCCTAGCTCATCGTGCATGTTGTTAGAACTGATGGAAATGCTTTTTCCTTTGATTAGCTTCATCATTGTATTGCAAAAACGTTTCAATGAGATACTGAAGTAAAAGTAACGTCTTCTGCATGGCTAGCGCCAGACGTTACTGAAGTAACGTCTTCTGCATAGCTACGGGAATAAAAGCCGAGTAAAAGACCGAGGCGAAGCCGAGGTCTTTTACGAGGTTTTTATTTCCTATACTGACCAAGTACGAAGTCAATATTAGATTTATCACGACAAACAGTCCATATTTCAAATTCCAAAACGATAACCTCATGAATCCCGGTTTTATGATTGCACAACCGTTGCACCACCACCTAGTCATGCAGTGACAATGCTGCACTAGGCACCGTTCAACTGCGAAACCCCTAAGCAGTCAAATATAAGCAGTCAATATAGCCCTAAGGAGTGAAATATGCAGGAATATTTGACTGCTTAGGTATGGCAAAAATCTATGTGAGTCAATACTAAGGAAGTGATAATATTATCATTATTAGAATTCATTCATTGATGATAAAAAATTAGTATCCACAGCACAATAAAAAATAAACAGTTTTTTGTTCTGCACGCGGAGTCTGCTGCCGAGAGGACGATTAAAAAAATGTCAATGGTGGTAGAGTCTCTATGGTAGACCCCACAGACACAGGGGTGTGTGTATGGTGTATATATTTATTATTCCCGTAGCTATGCAGAAGACGTTACTTCAGTAACGTCTGGCGCTAGCCAGGGTCCATACAGCTTTAATTCCCGTAGCTATGCAGAAGACATTACTTCAGTAACGTCTGGCGCTAGCCAGGGTCCACACAGCTTTAATTTGGTGTTTGTTTGTTTGTTTGTTTGTTTGTTTGTTTGTTTGTTTGTTTGTTTGTGTCACGCCTGGCGCTATCCCGAATCTGTCCCGTACCGTACCGTACCGTACCAGCCAAGACAGCTGGCCACAATATATGTTGGTTTGTTTGTGCCATCGGCATGCCTGACGCTATCCCGTACCTGTCCCGTACCATCAAGAATACGGTACAATCAAGAGAATGAGTATATATGCGGAGTGTATCGGGGGAATGCATTCAGTGCAGTAACATTTTGTGTGGATTTGTGTGCGAGGCCGAGATCCCACTAGCAGGCTGGCTGGGCCGCCTGTCGACCAGCCCGTAAATCGCATGTAGGCCGATAGCATAATAATTATAACGTATAGATGTATAGCAGGGAGTCGTATTATGTAAACGACTCCGTGCTGTCTAGGGAGATTTTCTTGAAAGAAATACGAAGTAGGGAGATGAAGAAATGCAATTAGAATTGAAGTTAGTTGCCGAATATGTGACATGATGCGTCAGCTAAAACAACCTTTGGAAGAGAGATCCCGTCGTCTCCAAAATAATCCTGAACGGGCGAGTCAGCGCCAGTCACAGGAAACGTCGGAAGAGAGATCCCGTCGACTCCAGAACGTCCGTGATCGGCAGAGTCAGCGCCGGTAAC